CTCAGGTTTTTTTTTTTTTTGTATTTTTAGGATTATAGGAGTTGTTTAGCAAAGTAGTTAGACTGCTTATGAAATAATTGTTTTATTAGGTGAAAAATATAATTATGAACTTTGATTTAAGATATGACTTTTTGTCAATCTTGTTTTGGTGAAGGGAGCCGAAGGAATACAATGACAGGGATCGTTGCACGTGAAAAGAACAACACGTAAGGCACGCCAGACGGGGTAAGGAAGCAGAGTAGTTTTCGCGAGAGATCAAGCTATTCATAGTTTTCGCTAAAGATCCTAGAGATGTAAAAGATGCAGGTGGAGGTCTAGATCACGTGACTTTGTAAAGAGGAAAAAAAGAAAAAAAAAAGAAAGCTTTTGTTCCCTAGTTAGGTTAATGGGGAGGAAACCTTAGTTCCCTTCAATTAGTGCTTGTGCTTTGCTTGGAAACTTTTAATTTGTTTTTTTTCATAAATATCCATATAAATTGGCATTAGAACACATGATTCTTGAGTAGCATGGGTGGAAATCTTCTGTCAAGCCTAGAGTTTGTTAATTTCATTCAGCCCATGTTTAGTAATTTCAGCCTAGAACTTGCCAAATTTAGCTTAGAGTTTGCTGATTTTTGTCCCTAGGATTTGTGATTTCGATGAACCTATGACAGAAAGACGGGATCGTGGAAGTAGAGCTCCCGTAGACCTACCCTAAGATGCCAAAGATGAAGAGATTAAGGATCTCAGGAGGCAAGTTCAGCAGCTTGCACAACAACTCATGGTTATCAATCATGGGTAAGATGATGAACTTTCTGCAAAGAAGATGTAAAGTACAAGCCCATGCTCTGCATGAGGAGTCGAGTGAAGAGGAAAGTAATAGAAGACTTAGACGTGGGGGACATTACTTTAGGGTCTTCAAATTGAAGGTGGACATTCATGATTTTAACGCACATTGTCTCCAAAATCAATGGGCAGTATATTGGGATTCTCAATCAATCTTTGAGCTTGCTCAGTTGAAGGACAATACCTTGTAGAAAATTTAATATACAACAATGAATAATATTTCGGGGTTGAACCGATCTTTGGGAAATAAAACTATGAAGTCCAAGGAGAATCAATAGATGAAGTTGTTGGTTGGACAATCGAATCCAGTCGTCATCTCAAAGATGACCACATGGTATGTTCTATGGCTGAACTTAGGCCATTTCAACAAGTTTATGTAGCTGGATAGACTCCATCAACATACAATGACACTCTCCTTGAGCTGTTCTCAAAATGTGCTAGTCTATTGATTTCGATGCCCCCAATCTCAATGCATAATCTCAAAGCATAATATTGAGTTCGAAGAAGGTTTTGGAACTAATGCGAAGCCTACTTCAAAACTTGAGGTTGAGTTTTCTCCAATTAGGGGAGTCTAAAGTAGGACCAAATTATTCTAATTTTCATTTTTTGTTTAATTTTCAAGGATGTATATTTTAATTTTTTTCTAGGGTTATTTTCCGCGTTCTTAAGTTTTTTAGGGATTATAGGGTTTTCTATAATTTTTGGATTTTAGGAGTTCTTTAAAAAAGTAGTTAGAGAGTGCTTATGGAACATTTTGTCTTATCAAGTATAGAGTTTGTAGACATGTTATTATGAATTTTTATTTTAAGTTAGGACTATTAAGTCAATATTATTTTGGTGAATAACACTATGGGCTTTTCATATTCCATTTAAGATATAAAAAGAGAAGCATGGAGGGTTAGGAACCTATTCACATGGCTTTGAAAAGGGGGCAAAAAGGAAACGGAAGTTTTTTCCTCCCTAGTTAGGGTTTTGGTGAGGAAACCTTGGTTCCCTTCAAAATTGTTGCTTGTGCTTTACTTGGAACATGCTTAATTTTCTAGTTCTACATCACAATGTATTAAAAAAATAATTCTCACTGGATCAGCAACTTATAAATCACGAATCTACTTACCTAAATAAGAGGAAAATTTAGATAAATTTGGAAGCAATTTACCTTTTTCAGTAGCACCTAACATATATAGGACAAAAAGAGACACAAGTTTATACTGCCAGCAACTTGTGTAATTCATTCATTTCATGTGGCTTCAATTGAAAGGAAAGAGACATTACCCAATAAGCCAGTGACAGATTGATCCATCGTAACTCCCACTCACGAAATACTCTTCATGAAAAGGATGCCATGCCAAAGCTAGCAAATATTTATTTTAAGAATACATTATCAGATATGGTCTCCCTATATTGATACCTAACGCAGATAAAAATGATCAGAGCTTACATGAAATTGTTAATGTTTCTCATTCATTCATTGATTACATTGAAAATAAGACAAGTTTGTGGTGAACTCGCATCGAAGCATCTAAGAAGAACCCTAGATAGTCTAGAACCATGGGCTGGAATTTAGCCCCTCAGATGAAACCAATACCGTGTTTGTGGTGAAAAAAGAATTGAGATAAACGTAAATTTTATCAATGATAACATCAACAATGGAGTTGTAGATATCATATCAAATACTAATAAATTCTTGTACAAATCACAAACTTGAAACCCATCCCTGATTGGGTTAAATACAGGCACCATCAAACAAAATAAATAGATATACATAAATATTTAGGCAGAAGAAGCCATAAACAGGAGTTCAAAGCATGGGCAGATATAATAAAAAAAAGAAAGCAACTACCACGCATACCAATTGAGTCTACAATTAGCACACAACCAAATCAATTTGAGCAAACCCTATCTTTTCGGTTTTGTTTAATATAATAGTTTTAACTTTTGATATTGAAATTCATAAGGTCTTAGACGATGAATCCTAAATAAAATCCAAACAATGAAATAAGGAGAAAATTGAAATTGCAATTTCTGTTTTAGTTTATGTTTTGTAAAGGACATTAATACACCAACAAAAAAAATGGCAATGCAAAAAAACAAAGTGAAATACATATGGGGCATTTTTTTTGTTTTTCTACTTCTCTGTTTTCAATTTTTGGAATGGGAAATCGAAAATGCAGAAGAGAGAAATTAGAAAATCTAAAAAAACAGAAAAAATAAAATAAAGTTTAAAAAGAAAAAACCGAAATAAAAAAAGGAAAAAATAGAGAAAAACTTTCTGTTTTTCTTTTTATTCTTCGGTTTTCTTTTATATAATTATATTGTTTTAGCTTTTAATGTTGTAATTTTCAATGGCTTAAAAGTGAATCCTAAATAAAATCAGAAAAAATAAGAAAATAAAGAAAAGTTGAAATTGAGTTATTATATTATTAATGAGTATTTATGTGTTCTTTACAAATATTGTTTATGAGTATTTATTTATTGTTTCAAGAGTTATATTTGTTTCTAGTATTTCCTACTTTTTCTAGATTTTCCCAATTTTTTCTTATTTTACTTTTTTATTAATTATTTAATTTCTTAGACCTCAATCTGTTTAATTTCACTTTGATTTACTCTTTTCATTATATTGTGCAGATTGTGAGAAAAGATTCACTTTGATTAACTCTTTTCATTATATTGTGCAGATTGTGAGAAAAGATTCACTTTGATTAACTCTTTTCATTATATTGTGCAGATTGTGAGAAAAGAAAAAGGACATGGGAGACTTTCTAGAGAGACCAAACTCGAAAAAAAGAAGGAAATGAGATCTACTGGGCAGAGACAAATAAGAAGGCAGAAACAAAGAAAAAGGAAGTCCTCTGAAATCCCATCTTCCCAAAACTCTCCACACTACTCTCCCTCTTCCCCAAACTCTACACATTACTCTCCCTCTTCCCCTCCTCCTTCCCCTAACTCTCCACATTACTCTCCCTCTTCCCCTCCTTCCCCCAAGTACTCTCTTTCTCCTAACTCTTTAGAATACTCTCCCTCTTCTCCCCAATACTCTCCCTCTTCTCCCAACTCTCTATAATACTTTCCCTCTTCTCCCCAATACTCTCCCTCTTCCCTAAACTCTCCACACT